TAAAATTTTTTAAAACGGTTCTATTGTTGAACGTTGCTTTATATTTAAAGTTTAATTAAAGGTTATAAAGGTCATTCACCGTAGGAAACCTTTATCTTCGTGTTCCGCTATCGTTTTGATGCTTGCCATTAACAAGTTGTCATAGCCAAAAAATTCATATAAGATCAATCTTGAAAAAGCATTGCCGAAACATTTGTCGTTTAATGGATTCAAAATAACGATCTTAACTAGGATGTTCTATCTTTGTCGAGCTGCCGGTGGTAATCGCAAGAAACCGTATTCCAAAGAATATTCCACGATCTAACCATCTCTTAAAAATATAAAATTACCATATAAATCATGAAAAATAGAAATATAATTAATATTTTTTATGTGTTTTAAGTAAATACAATTAATAATACTCTAACTCTCACAGATAAAATCTGTGATCATATATTTTTTTGTACATTTCTCATAGATTAATTTAATTAAGTTAAATATTTTAAAGAATGACTATGTATTTTTTTGTAAACTCTTTCTTAATTACGAACTACTAAAATATTATCAATATTTCCACGAGATATTTGAGAAAAGAGATTTAATTCCGCGAAATATAATAATATTTTATTAAATAATTAAAAAACAAATATATATCATCAAATCAGGGAATATACGTACTGTTTCTTTGACTATTTTTAATCAATTTCAAAGTATACATAATAAATTTTGCTGGAGACATTTACCTGCTCTAGCTGTTTTATCAGCATCTGATGCACGATCTTTTAACGACTGCATAATATTATCTTCACTTGAGCGATTCACATCAAGTGCTTCCGTGGAATAACCCTCTGTTTTGGTAAAAGATTACTCTTCATCAGGTGGCTAAAGTGTATTACTTCGTTACTAATTTAAATATCTACGGTTCTAACTGAAGAATATAACTAGTGTAGTAAGAATGAGGTTAAATGTATATAAATTATTCCTTAATTTATAAACCGATAAAATATTACAATGTCCATGAAATATTTATCGCAAACAATATTATTCCGAAGTACATATTAGATTATTTGATTAAATAATCAATATCTTCAGACCAAGAGATAAACGTACTGTTTTTTAACTACAATATATTTAAACCACTCTAAAGTGCAGTGGATAACGGTCGATTCATTGTTGTATTCGTTGTACTTAGATTAAGATTTTCTACCTCTCCACTGTGGGACTACGTATAATTATATCTTGTTCAGGTAATGTTACATTGCCACGATTCTCTTCATCGGTGACATTTACAGCATCTTGTTCCACGTCAATAGCCGAAGGTTCAATGTTCAAAAATCTGTTATGACAGACAAATATAAATTAATTATGAGTTCAAAAGCATATACTTATATATTCATATCAAATCTTATTAATACTTGTATTATTAAATTATATATAAGTACAACTTACTGATCTCTGCTTAGTATTTCCAAAGTACTGGTTAAATCAACTTTCTCTTGCGTCAATTTTTCCTCTTTGTCATAACTTTTTTCTTTGTTGTAATCATCACCGTCATTCCTAAGAATTTCGACTCTCAATATATGGCCACTCATCTCTTATATACTCTAAACAATTAGTTGGTGCTCGTAAAAATACTATATAGATATAAGCTAATACAAAAATGCTACTATAGACTGTGAAACGAAATTATGAAGAATATTTATTAGGTGCGCAACTAAGTTCTCGCTGTTTTTTTAATGAAAATATAACTTTATTGTGAAAAAATGCTTACAAATGAATCATTCAAAGTATTACCCATCGCTAGCTATAACTTTTTCCCATCTTTCTACCAGATCTCGAATACCGTTACGGTAAAAGCGTTTGTCTTGTGAGGTTACACACGAATCAAGCCATTTTTTGATGTCTTCATATGAGCGGAACTGCTGATGAGCCAGACCATGTGCCATCGAACGGAACAAGTAATAATCGGACTGCTCAATATCTGGGGAATATGGCGGGTGGGGAAGGACTTCCCATTTGAGCGTTTCCAAGCAGGTTTTAACGGGTTCGGCAACATGAGGCCGAGCGTTGTCATGCAGTAGAATCACTTTGTCGTGCCTCTGCTCGTATTGTGGCCGTTTTTCGCGCAGTGCTCGGCTCAATCGCATCAATTGAATTCGATACCGTCCCCCAGTGATAGTTTCGTTCGGTTTTAACAGCTCATAATAAATAACACCGACTTGGTCCCACCAAATACACAGCATAATCTTCGCAGCGTGAATATTTGGCCGAGCCGACGGCGTAGAAGCATGACCGGGCAGTCCCCATGACTTTCTTTTCCTTGGGTTGCTGTAATGAATCCATTTTTCATCACCCGTAACGATACGATGAAGAAAACCCTTCCTTTTTTGCTCCTGGAGCAGTTGTTCACAGGCGAAAAAACGACACTCAACGTCTCTTGGCTTCAAATCATAAGGAACTCAAGTTCCTTGCTTTTGAATCATTCCCAACGCATGCAGTAGCTTGGAAATGGCTTGGCGGGTAACTCCTAATGCTGAAGCAAGCTGTTCTTGCGTTTGGTATGGATCCTCATTGAGCAATGTCTCCAATTCAGCGTCTTCGAAGGTTTTTGGCCTTCCTTCACGCGGACGGTCGTCAACATCGAAATCACCGTTTTTGAAGCGACGGAACCAATCACGGCACGTTGTTTCACTTAGAGCAGCTTCTCCGTAAACTTTTTGGAGCTCTCGATGAGCTTCAGCCGCCGTTTTCTTCGAATGAAATAAGAAAATCAACACTTCCCGCAAATGACGATTATTTGGCACAAAATCAGACATTTTCACGCAACTAAAAGTATATGACGCCAAAACAAAATCACTAACGTGTCAAAGTTTGTTTACAATATGTCTAAGCTTGCTTTATGATGTTTTAGATATGTCAAAATCGACCAACACTTACTGCTGGAGCCATCTATTGACAAACAGCGTGAACTTAGTTGCGCACCTAATACTTTTTATTAATATTTGCTAGTTTCTTATTTTTTATCTTAATTTTATGCAAAATATTTATAATTAATATGAATATTTTAAGCAATCAAGAGTATAAAGTTTGACATATTTTTTTCAATATACTTTAAAATAATATTAATATCTAGGAAGGATTTTATTTTGGAGAAATTCTTAGTAGATTTTCTTATTACATGTTGGATGCATTTCGAAATATATATAAAAGAAGCAAGTGATCTTTACTCATATTCACATTAGCACATACCTTCAAAAGAACGATAAATTCTATAAATCTTCTGACAGGCCTAGAAAATGTTCTTCCGTAGACTAGTGCCACTTTGATAAATATTGCATGAAATAATCTATCCCACACATTAACCAGTGAATTTTGATTACTGTAATTTCTAGCTATATTCATGTTATTTAAAACTGGTCCTATTACACCAGCCAGACTGTGAATATGTACCATAGTGCCGTTTTGATTGTTAAGTACTGCGACTGCAGCACTATCTCCTTGTGGCATTTTGAAATATTACTTAAATTGCTTCCACAAAATAATAATATTCACCATTGAAATATATATATATATATATATATATNTGAAGGCTCTGTTTAGTGGTTATTTATACTCTCGTCATGTACTATATGTTATTGCAAATATACATATATTTGTCATTTGTCACTAATAATTGTTGAAGCAAACATCTTGAAATAATTAAAAATGGCTCATTAGCACAAAATCTGTTTGTTTTCGCTGTACCGCAGAACTAGTGCAATAAGTTGAAGCGAGACAAGTATGTTTTCTCACATCAAATTATTACACTAGTTCAGCGGTGCAGCGAAAACGAGCAGACCTACACTCATCAAATTTAATTTCCATGAATTATTTATGGGTTATAATAAAACGTGAAAATGTGCAGACAATATGTTCTGTCTTCACAGATCCCTAATTTTACTACACAATCTCTGCAGATTCTTGCAGAAAGTACTTTCAAATCGAACTTTTTCTAACACAATAGTCTCGCGATCTGAATAGTACACAGTTCATAACCTATCAGTTCCACATCGACGTTTGAACTTTCCCGAAAACGAAGAAGTAGAAGGGAAACCAACAGAGATGTCACTATGGGAATTTAACTATGCCAATTTTTTTGTTTTACTGAATATGTCCAACCAGCACAGAGTGTCGCGTATAAAAACTTGTACGCAAAACAATGATGCTATATATTATTTGGTTACGTAATTTTTTAGTCGAAAAAAGAGACAACTCACTCATCGGCTGTCCAATTAAACATCAATTGCATTATTCCTTTTTACGACGCACAATAATAAGAATGATACACACGTAACGGCGATATTAAAATATGTTTTTAGTGAGGTTTTTAGAAATAAATCTGGCACGTAATACCTCGTGACAAAATCGCGATAGAAGTACCTACGCAACATTTCCAGCAATGCCGTTCCAACTTCCGTGAATAATGTTATTCAAGCTATCGCGAAAAAGGCACGTGATCCCATCATAAACACGATACTCGTGGAAACCGTCACTTCATTGTCGTATGTTTGATGTAGCATAAATCGCGTTGACTGATCTGACTACCATACACGAGCAGGTATGCCAACCAGTTCGCGAGGTGAGGATTTGGTGAAACTTACGGGAAATTCACACGTCGCGTGCGACGTTCGACGCTCACTGTCCAATGAGGGAACCCGCGTACCGGAAATAAAAGCTATTGTTCCTAACCAAATCAAGTTCTTCTATTGGGCGTCCGAACGTCACGCATTTTCACGCATAGAAAGTAGTGTGAATTCTCCATTAACAGGTTTCTGTAATTGCTAAGCCATTTAAATTCTCGTTAACGCTACAGCAGCAGCACAGTGAACAGCGTTCGTGGAGTTCTTGAGAAAATATCATCAAGATATCGCCTATATATTATCGATGTTATTATATTTTGTATGGAATAAAATCAAACTTTCTCTCTTGAGATACTGTATATATCCATTTATTTTCCAGATAGGCCAAAATATTTTTCTAAATTGATATTAATGTATATTACCAACATGTATTCATCATTGTCGCCACAAGCCACTCTCAGTTCAGAGATAATAAAAATTATAAATGAAAGGAACATGTTGAATATGCAAAGCCTTATAAAAGGTACATTTTTTTAAAGATTTCTCAATATAATACTACCCAAACAGCACAGGACATCTCGTGGATGTTCTGTGGACATCCTGCAGATGCCCTTAGGATATCCTTAAGATGTTCTTCAGAGGTCTGTTACCTGAGTATTGTCTTGCATTGTAACATTTCTAATTTTACATGCTTTGAAAGAGGATTATGAAAGGTGCACAGAAATAAAGGAAAAGGCTTTAAAATCTCTAGCTATTCAAGAATTAACTACAGAGGTCACCTATTTACGACAATTGGAGATCTTGATATAGGTAAATTTCAATGTAATTTTATTTATAAGTTATTTATAGTTTTATCATTAACGTGTGTGTGTGCGTGCGTGCGTGCGTGCGTGTGTTTTTTCAGTTTTTCTTGCAGCCTATTCTTTAAAAAATTTACTAAATCATCCGCTGTTTATCACGCTATTGGACAACATAAAAACATTGTATAATTTAACCGGAGAATTAGTAACAGGATTAAAACATAATTCTGACCATATAGACGAAGTATTTCACAAGCTCGCACCATTCTTCAAGCTGTATTCGGTTTATGCTTACGATTACACACAAATGCTAAATCTGTTACAGGTAATTATCGAATATCATAAGAATTTATTGATCTTTAAATGGAATATCAAATTTTTTTTTCAAAATTAACACACATTCTATAAGAATTACTGATGTATTGTTTTGAGATAAGTCAAGAGAGCGTTCCTGCCTTCAAAAAGTTTGTATGTAAGTAAGAAACAAAGCCAGAAGGAGGTAGAAAATTTTTCTCGTTATTATTTACACCGGTTCAGAGGGTACCACATTATCAATTACTTGTTAAGGAAGTGTTACAACATACTCCTTACAATAACAAGGAACATAGACCTCTGCAGGATAATTACATTAATAAAACTTTAATATATACCATATACTTTGTATGGGTGTATGATATAATTTGTATTAACATATGTATTTTGCAACGTGATCTTTATTTCAACTTGATTTTCATTGCAGCATGTTTGGTCGACATTGAAAAATCTGCTGGGCACATAAACAGTTAGTCGCACAGAATGAAGAAACGCAAACTTGAAACTCCAAAAGTGCATTATTACCTCGATTAATCTAGTTAAACCTGGTAGAGTATTAGTCAAACAAGGACTATTAATGCACGTCTCGAGACGAGGCAATACCGCTTATAAGTAGTACTTTGTCCTCTCCAATGACACATTTTTGTATTGTAAAGGTGAGACGGAAACTTCATTGAGCGTGTCTTGCGTTTTACCGCTAAACAAGTGCAGTTTAACTTACTTCCTAAGCAAGAAATTGTTTCGTCTAACATGTTTAAACGAAACATTCCAGTTATACTCGGAACAGAGTGACAGCAACGAATGGATATAAGGTGATCTCAAAAAGATATTTCTACTATTAAAAATGTGATTCTCTTAAAGCTAGTGTATACAAAATATATTAGCACGCTATTTCATTTTTAGTATATTAAATGTAGGCAGACTTTCAGATAGGAAAGTAGCTTGAAGATGCCACTTAGACGTAATAATGTCAATGAATTTCCATTGAATGATATCTAAATTATCTGATATCAAAAATATCTATTAAAAGGAAAAAATCTACGGTAGATAAACGAGTAACAATTATTGTTTCTCAAGCGTATTGTTTTTTACGTACTTCGCATAAAAATATGTAGTGTATTTGTGTAGATATGATGTAAATTTATCTCTAAATTCTACAGGTTTCTTTGGATTCTTCCAATATTATTTATTTTAAAAAAGAAAATAAGACGGATGAAGATAATATTCAACAAGAAAATATGTGTTTACCTTTCTGTAGCAAAACCAAGAAATTTAAACCAAGTAAATATGTCAGCACCGACGATTTTGGAATTCAGACAAAAAGCATAAAACGAAAATTATGTATAAAGAGGCACAAAACAAAAGTACTTGCATATAGACATATAGAAACACCAAGCAGTTATTCGAACAAGGTAAACAAAATTGAAAGACAATTAGTTCAGTAAAAATAAATTAATTGCAATTTATAAAGTTACATTTCTTTTTGTCTAGACTTTAGAGGCAATGGAGAACCATAGAACAAGTTTGAGGTCAATCACATCAATGTTGGAGAAAAAGCGTCATCGCCATTTAGGATGATCGCTGGATTCTTTACCTACATAGTAAAGCCCATAAAAGATCTTTTACATTAAAATAAGACATTATGCAGCGCGTCTTATTACATACATACGTACATAAATATAAGAATAATTTATTCGTATTATAGTTATATACAAGTATATATCTAATTTGGCTTTCGAGTAAGCAACGCATCTTTCATAGATTTGTTTTCGAAGTTTCGTGAAGGTTTCAGTTCTTCAAGGTGAGGCGCAACCTGAAATTATATATGATTGAACATTATTATAATTTGGTCTAAATTGTAGAAATAAAAACATAACTACATATTATGTTTTGATAAATTAGTAATATTAATAGTTAACTCATTAGTAACGTAATTCTTTTCGCGGCTTTGCGTTCCATTGCTAACTGGCACTCGATAATTTCTATCTCTTGATGAACAAATAGTTAAATCATATATAGGAGGTCTGTTCAAAAAGTATCGCGAATTTTGTGTTTTTTCAAAAATTATTTATTTATTCATGAATATCTATTTTGTCTCCTTCAAAGTAATTCCCATCAGATATTATACACTTGTGCTAACGTTTTATCCAATCCTCGAAGCACTTCAAAAAATCATTTTTTGTGATCTTGTTCAGCTCCTCTTTCGATGCCGTCTTCATCTCCTCAATCTTAGCGTCGCGTCGTCCTTTCATGTGCCTCTTCAGTTTCGACAACGAGAAAAAGTCACAGGGGGCCAGGTATAGGGAATACGGTGGCTGCGGCATCATTAGTGTGTTGTTTTTGGCCAAAAATTCGCGCACAAGCAACGATGTGTGAGCAGGGGCGTTATCATGGTGCAAAAGCCAATTTTTGTTCTTCCACAAATCCGAGCGTTTCTGGCGGATTGCTTCGCGCAAATTGCGTATAACTTGCAGGTAATATTCTTTATTGACTGTTCTACCCTGTGGCAAGAACTCATGATGCACCACGCCCCTGCAATCGAAGAAAACTGTAAGCAAAACCTTCACATTCGACCGAACTTGGCGCGCTTTTTTCGGTCTTGGCTTTTGCGGCAGCTTCCATTAGGATGATTGAGTTTTGGTTTCCACGTCATAACCATAAACCTATTATTCGTCACCAGTTATGACACTCTGGAGCAAATTTGGGTCGTCACGGACAGAGTCCAACAGCTCCCCAGTAACGTTAATGCGATGCTGTTTTTGGTCAAAATTGAGCAATTTTGGTACGAATTTCACGGCGACCCGTCTCATGCTCAAATCATTAGTAAAAATCGAATGGCA